TTTCTTCAGCTCCTTTAGGTGTAGGGTTAGGTTGCCTACTTGAGACCTTTCTTGTTTCTTGAGAAAGGCTTGTATCACTATATACTTTTCTCTCAGGACTGCCTTTGCTGTGTCCCAATGATTTTGAACAGTTGTGTTTTCATTTTCATTTGTTTCCATGAATTTTTTCAATTCTTCTTTAATTTCCTGGTTGACCCATTCATTCTTTAGTAGGATGCTCTTTAGCCTCCATGTATTTCGGTTCTTTCCAACTTTCCTCTTGTGATTGAGTTCTAGTTTCAGAGCATTTTGCTCTGAAAATATGCAGGGAATGATCCCAGTCTTTTGGTACTGGTTGAGACCTGATCTGTGACTCAGGATGTCATCTATTCTGGAGAATGTTCCATGTGCACTAGAGAAGAATGTGTATTCTGTTGCTTTAAGGAGGGAATGTTCTGAATATATCTGTGATGTCCATCTGCTCCAGTGTGTACTTTAAAGCCTTTATTTCCTTGTTGATCTTTTGCTTGGATAATCTGTCCATTTCAGTAAGTTAAGTCCCCTACTGTTATTGTATTATTGTTGATGTGTTTCTTTGATTTTGTTATTAATTGGTTTATATAATTGGCTGCTCCCATGTTAGGCTCATAGATATTTAAAATTGTTAGATCTTCTTATTGGGCAGACCCTTTAAGTATGATACAGTGTCCTTCCTCATCTCTTATTATAGTCTTTGGCTTAAAATCTAATTGATCTGATATAAGGATTGCCACCCCAGCTTTCTTTTGATGTCCATTAGCATGGTAAATTGTTTTCCACACCCTCACTTTAAATCTGGAGATGTCTTTGAGTCTAAAATGAGTTTCTTATAGACAGCATATCAATGGATCTTGTTTCTTTATCGATTCTTGATACCCTGGGTCTTTTGATTGGACATTTAGCCCATTTACATTCAGGGTAACTATTGAAGGATAGGAATTTAGTGCCATGGTATTGCCTATAAGGTGACCATTACTGTATATTGTCTCTGTTCCTTTCTGGTCTGTTACTTTTAGGCTCTCTCTTTGCTTAGATGACCCCTTTCAATATTTCCTGTAGGGCTGGTTTGGTGTTTGCAAATTTTTGTTTGTCCTGGAAGCTTTTATTCTCTCCTTCTATTTTCAATGACAGCCTAGTTGGATATAGTATTCTTGGCTGCCAATTCTTCTCATTTAGTACTCTGAATATATCATGATAGTTCTTTCTGGCCTGCCAGGTCTCTTTGGATAAGTTTGCTGCCAATCTAGTATTTCTACCATTGTATGTTACATACTTCTTGTCCCAAGCTGCTTTCAAGATTTTCTCTTAGTCCTTAAGACTGGTAAGTTTTACTATTAGAGACAGGGTGTGGATATGGTTTTGATAACTATCTAGCTGAACTCCTGGGACCCGATGATATTTTGGTCTCATACTCCTCTGCCATCTTGCCCACCGTTGTTTTTTTGTTTTTTTTTTTGTTTTTTTTTTTGTTTTTTTTTTGACTTTTGGTATTTTCTAACCTAAATTTATGTTCTCAGTTCTTACTATTTCCCTAGCTTTTCAGTCCTCTTGAATAACAGTTTGGGGCTTTTTTTGCTTTTGTTTTTAAATTTTATCCAGGTTTTTCAATGTTTTGCAGGGGGGTTGTTGGTGTGATCCTCCTGTTTTACCATTCTTTGAAATGAAAAGTTCTCAACAAATCAGTTTTGCAATTTAAAATAATAACTTCTGCCTGCCAGACTGCATTCTTTTGGTAGTGTACTTTTGGTAATGTATATGGTGTGGAAATTAAACCAAGAAGTGCTGCTCAAGTGAAAGGTAGCATTTTTGCAATATTTCCTTTTTTACATTTCTCATTTTTAAAAATCAGCCTAATGGAAGTACTTTACATACAGCAAAATGTATAGGTTTTAAATGTTTAGTTCCATGAAATACCAATAAACTGAATATTTTCCTAAACCCCTCAGAATTACTTCCTGGCTGTCCATCTTCTCCAACCATTGCCTCAGGCAACCACTGCTCTGTTTATAGCATTACAGATATGTTGTCCACTTCTAACAATTTATAGAAAGCAACTCATTATGTCTGCCGTGTGTAATGTTTCTTTGGCTGTAGTAGCTTGGCCAAATATTGTGCAAATGCTCTGTTTCATGTATTTGGAATAAATTCCTATTTATTGGTGAATAATAACTAATTGCCTGACTACACCAAAATTTGTTTCTCGATTTTCATCTTGATGTGTATGTTTAGCTTCGTAAGCCGCTGCCACTTTGTCTTCCAAAATGCTGTACCATTTTATGTCCTTACCAACAGTGTATGAGTACTCCCAATTGCTCCACACCCTCACAATCTCCTGATGCTGTTCATCTTTTTAATTTTTGTATTCTTTCATATTCTGTTATCTTTTTAATTATTCGTATTTCATATTGACATCTTATTGTGGCTTATAGTTGTATGTCACTGACTAATATTATCAAACATATTTTGATGTACTTACTATTTGTCCATCCTCTTTCAAATTTTTTATCCAACTTATTTTTTGAAGTTTTTATTTAAATTCCAGTTAACATACAGTGTAATATTAATTGCAGATATACAGTTTAGTGATTCAATACTTACATATAACACACAGTGCTCATCACAAGTGCACTCCTTAATCCCCATCACCTATTTCACCAATCCTTCTACCCATCTCCACACTGGTAGCTATCAGTTTGTTCTCTACAGTTAAGAGTCTGTTACTTGGTTTGCCTCTTACTTTTCCCTTTGCTTGTTTCTTTTGTTTCTTAATCCCACATATGAGTGCAGTCATATGGTATTTGTCTTTCTCTGACTTATGATGCTTAGCATGATACTCTCAAGCTCCATCCATGTTGTTACAAATGGCAAAAGATTATTCTTTCTTATGGTGAATAATATTCCTGTGTGTGTGTGTATGTGTGTGTGTCTGTGTGTGTGTTTGTGTCTGTGTCTGAGATATATCACATAAACATTTATTAATATAGCACTTATTTATTTGTTTATTTGTTTATCTTCTTTATCCATTTATCAGCCCATGGACACTTGGGCTATTTACATAATTTGGCTATTGTAGATTATTTGTAACCAATTTCTTAAAATTCAGTTGTTTCTCAACATTTTCCTGAGTTATGAATCCTCTACACACAGTTATTTGTTTGATAGATGTAATGCAAAAATGTTTTCCCAGATGTAGTTTGCTGTTTCATTTATCAAATGATGGCCTTTGGAAGAAACATGTTTATAATTTTGATGAATTACAGTTGTTTCTTCTCTATAGTTAGTGCTTTTTGTGTCCTAAAAATCTTTGCTTACTCTCTTGGTCAAAAAGCTATTCTCCGGGGTGCCTGGGTGGCTCAGTGGGATAAAGCCTCTACCTTCAGCTCAGGTCATGATCCCAGGGTCCTGGGATCGAGCCCCACATCAGGCTTTCTGCTCAGCAGGGAGCCTGCTTCCCTCTCTCTCTGCCTGCCTCTCTGCCTACTTGTGATCTCTGTCAAATAAATAAATAAAATCTTAAAAAAAAAAAAAAAGAAGCTATTCTCCTGTTTTTCCTCCAGGTCCTTTTTAACTGTAGCTCTGTATTTAGATTGAAAGACTGTACGTGTAAAATATTGTATTGAATATGTATTGAAAAAAGTCAATGTGGTTCTCTTTGTTGACCTAGCAGAGGGTGGTGGTCATATATGTTTTACAGTGTTCCAGAAGGTAAAGTGCTTCAAACAGCTGTCCAGAATATTTTTAAACTAAAGTTAGGGTAGATTTTTACTCGAAGATACGTGATTACTTGTTGTAAGTCATTCCATAGATCATATTAGATTTCAGTCTGTATAATGGGGGAATGCTACACTTTAACATTTAATAAAAAAATAAGTTACATAGAAAATATATTACCCCAGAACTTCTGTTTTCTTCTCTCTTCCCCCCTGCCCATGTTTTTCCTTTCCTCCTTTCCTTCATTTCTTCCTCTCTCCTTTCTTTCTTCCTTCATTACTTTTCTGTTTTCTTTAAAAAAAATTATGTGCTCTTTTAACCTTATGTTATTATGTATTTTCCTAGTTGAGATTTTTTTAGATGATAAAGTAGTCCTATGTAGTAGTTAGTTCTTGAGATAATAGGATATTCTTTTATAATGGCATGTTTATATTACTAATCTTGTGTATCCTAGTGATATTGTAGTTGATACTTGTTGCTTTATTATACTACAAGAATGTACTCAGGAAAGGTGAGGAAACTGCATGTAGTGAGTGTCATAGACACCTATAACTCGTGACCAGTTTACATGTGGAAGATTAGCTCTTAGTAATGTTATCTTAGATGCTCAAGTGGGAATTAGACATTTTGCACTGTACAGTGATATTCTCTCATGAACTTAGGACACAACTGTTGTGAAAAGACGAATTAAAGGTTAGCCAAATTTTATGATGGGAGGAAAATGCGTGCTATGTTCTAGTTACAAGGATACTACCATTTTTTTTTTAAAGATTTTTTTTTTAAAGATTTTATTTATTTATTTGACAGAGAGAGATCACAGTAGACAGAGGCAGGCATAGAGAGAGAGAGGGAAGCAGGCTTCCTGCTGAGCAGAGAGCCCCATATGGGACTCGATCCCAGAACCCTGAGATCATGACCTGAGCCGAAGGCAGCGGCTTAACCCACTGAGCCACCCAGGCGCCCAGGATACTACCATTTTTAAGGCTGAGACTTCTTTCTTTCTTTTTTTTTTCTCTTATTTTTCTTTTTTAAGGCTGAGATTTCTGATAGAAGTTAACAGTAATGTTGATTTTAAAATCCTCTTGTTTAGTAACATTTCTTAAACCCGTTTCATAACCTCTTGAAGTCACAACTTGTGAGAATGCTGTTGATTTAATGGTCCGAATGAAATACCCGTTAATTCTCTTGCCCACTGCCTCAAATGGATCTTACATTCAAGAGAAATGCACTCTTGCTTGGGCTAAAACTGTTGTTCTTTTTCTTTGCCCTAGGATAAGAAATGGGTTCTCAATCATGAAGATGTCACATTGGGAGAATTACTGGGCAAGGTATGTGGTCAGCTGAACTAAATAACCAAAAGTCTTTACAGTGACTGTGCACGCTACGGATTTCTTAGTTTTCTCCAGAGCCTTTCTTGCATTCTAGCACACAGCAAGGCACATTACCACATGAATCCAGGAGGACACAATACCACATCTGCTACAAATACTGCAGTGTTCAATGAAACAGATAGGTAAAAATCTGTGAAAAGTTTAAGGATGATTCTTGGCTTTTTAAAATAGTATATGTCTGTTTTCCTCTGGAAGGACTTAAACTGTAATGAGTTTATTACAGTGTGATAAAACCAAAACTAGTAATTGGAGATGGGAAAGAGACTATAGGGTAATAGAAGTTTAAACACCTAATAGTCCTACTCCATTTGGTTCTGGTTATACAGGATAGCTCAGAAAAAGTGGCATATGCTGCTCTCTGACATTTTAGGATTGTGTATAGTTCACAGTATGTAACAGCACTGGATGCATTATTTCATCTAATGACTATGTGGAGAAGACAGGTTTCAATATAAAGATTCATTTTATAGGTAGGTCTGGTAGTGGTCAGAGAAGGCAACTTGTATGTGATGAAAGTCCTTTTTTCTTCCAGTCTAGTTTGAAGTTTATTCCAACTCATAGGCCATATGAATGTATATTATGTTGAGTAATAATGGTAGACATTTGATCATTAATCAAATGGACTATTTGCAAATTATTAATTGCTGATTATGATTGAGTCCCAGTAGGTAAATATTAACGTCTTTGTCAATGACTTCTTGATGTCTCTGTTTGAAAGTTTGAATTGAGTATAGTTTTATAGGTGCAGTTTGAAAAATAGTATAAAACATAGGTATTGAGAGAAAACTATTACTCATGTATTTTGAGTGATGAGTACTAAAGGCTCAGCACTTTACATAAAGAAAGAGGTGATTATTAATTTTTTTATTCAAATGTCAACTTGATGAATTGACAAATTTTTTCTTACACCCCCCCCTTTTTTTAAATCTCTGATATATATTGATAAAGCAAATCCCTGTTGAAATAATCCATTTTGTAAGATTTTCATATTATTTTAAAATATCCTTTCCATATGGGAGCATTAAATTGCTACTGGAAAGCAGTTTTTATTGACTGCTAATACTTAGTAAGTAAATTATAAAGAATCTCAAGCTAAAAGCAGTAGCTTATGTGTTTATTTCATTGGTGTTGCACTTATAATTCTTAAGGAAGTGTTCCTTCTTTCCATTACTTTAGGTCAGTAACTCAGGAGCAGTAATTGGACCAAAAATTATTACAAAAAAATTAAATTTCCATGAAAATACAACTAAAAATTATAAAACAAATCACTTACTGAAATAGAATATGTTGAGGAACACTGCTTTTTTTTTTTTTTAAAGATTTTATTTATTTATTTGACAGAGAGAGATCATAAGTAGGCAGAGAGGCAGGCAGAGAGAGAGGAGGAAGCACGCTTCCTGCTGAGCAGAGAGCCCAATGTGGGGCTCGATCCCAGGACCCTGGGATCATGACCTGAGCCGAAGGCAGAGGCTTTAACCCACTGAGCCACCCAGGCGCCCCGGAACACTGCTTTTTTAAATGCCAAGAAAAACTATTTTCAGTTAAAGAGAAATATTTCAATTATTTTTATGTTTAGTTTAATATGTGAGATATGGTAGATATGGTGAGATATTAGGAAGGATTTTAATCTCTAGATCCTTACTAAAGCTATTTCGAAGAATAATATTTTCTCAATGACAAGGCTACTGCATGAGGTCATTTTAAATAAATTTAATCATTTTAATAAGACTGCACCTTTAAAGACACTGTATTAGCTTAGTTTCAGCTAATATTTTTGAGTATAAGCTGATTTATGATTTAATCTTTTCACTACCTATTCTTAATAAATATTTACAGCATACTCCTTGAGAGTGCATGAGGAAAAAAGAATTAGTCATGGTTTCTATACTGACAGACTTTGGAATTGTGTAGTTATAGAAGATTGAAGTAGGAACTTTTAACTTTTTTATCCAGCAATATGTAATTAGACTACTTGATATATGGTTGGTATTCAAGAAATATTTTATTCACTCCTGAAATATTTATGGAATGTCTCCTTTGTGCTAGGCTCTCTTCTAGACACTCAGGATACATCAGCTTATAAAGGAGACAAATATCTTTGCCCTGTTGGAGCTTATATTCTATTTAGCAGGGGAAGATGGAGAAATTATAAACAATAAATAGCTACATTTTATATTAGAGGATGCTAAGCCCTGTGAAAAATACAGGGAGATTGGGAGTGCTGTTGGCCAGGGTTGCAATTTTTAATAGAGAGATCTGGGTATGCTTTATTATAATTGTTTACTTTCGTATAAAAAGTTGGAAGGGTTTTAGCCATGCGGACATCTGAGAAAGAGGGTTCTAGGACAATGGAGTAAGCAATGCAAATTTTCTTTGAGAAGAAAGGCAGACAGTTTGGCTGTAGGTGAGTTCAGTAAGCAGGCAGGAAGGTGACAGGACAGGAAGTGGGTGGGGCAGTGAGGGCGTAAATCATGTAGAACCCTGCAGGCCATTATAATTGCTTTGGCTTTGATTATGTATGAGAAGATGAGTTAGTGGATGACTTTGAGTGGAGGGGTTGCATGATCTTTCTTATTAAAAAGATCACTGTGGCTGTTATGTTGAGTACAGGCTGACAAGTTGGAAGTTTAGGAGGCACTTGCCCTTACCGAACTAATAGATGGTGGTTGCTAGATCAGGGTGGTAGCAGGGGTGGTGATAGAAACTTGTGAGTTCTGGTTGTTTTTGATGTTGAACCAACTGAATATCCTGATGAAGTCCATGTGGGGCATGAGAGAAGGGGAGGTCAGTGTAGGTGCAGCAAATTTGGGGGGAATAAATTTAGGAGTTAGGTTTTGGATGTGTTAAGTTTTGTCTGTTTGTCAAATGGAGAGTCTGGGAAGACAGCTGGCTCTCAAGTGTGGAGTTTAAAAAAGAGGTCTGGATCAAAAGTACAAATTTGCAGTTGTAGCATATATATTTGGTAGTTATATATAGATGTTATTTAAGATTTTTAATTGGAATGTATTTGATATATAATGTGTACATTTAAGGTGCACAATATACTAAATTGATACGCCATTGTAGTGGTATTTAGTGTCTCTAGCACATTATGTAATTTTTTTTTTTTTGTGGCTGAAAAGTTGTAGCCTCTTAGCAAGTTTGATTATAATATAATAGTATTTGTATTCACTATCTTGTTCATTAGATTTCTAGTGCTTACTTCTCAAAAGTTTAGTTAGTACCCTTAGACAATATCGGTCCTATCTGCCCCCCCTTCCCCATTCTTTGTAACCTCATTTTACTCTGTTTTTATGAGTTTGACTATTTTGGATTTCATAAATGTGATAGTATATATAGTATTTTTCTTTGTGTGATTTATCATAATGTGCTCAACTTTTATCTGTGGTATTGCAAATGGCAGATGTCCTGCTTTTTCATGGTTGAATGACATTACTTTGGATATATACCACATATAGATGGCATTTAAAGCCATATGACCAGTTGAGCTCAGTAATGGAGTAGGTCTCTATCAGAAGAGAGGATGGAGACTGAACCCTGGTCACTATTATAATAGGCTTCAGACAAGAGATGCAGTCACCAAAAGAGGCTAAGAAAGAGAAATCAATTACAAAGGTAAAAAAACAGAAGATAAGATATCTTGGAAGCCAAAAGAAGAGAGTATATCAAGGAAAACAGAGTAATCAGTGGTGTTAGATTCTGCTGATAGGTCAAATGAGATGATGACTGGGAATTCACCATTGACTTTAGTAAGGAGATGGGCACTGGTGACTCGGCTGAGCAGTTTCCTGGGAATGATTTAGCAGAAAGCCAGATTGAAATAGATGAAGAGAGAATGGATGGAGAGGAATTAGAGATAGCAAGGACAAAACTCTTTCAAGCTTTGTTGCAAAAGGAAGCATAAATATGTGGTGGTAGTTTCAAGAGAATGAATTGTGTTGCTTTTTACCCTGAGAGACACAACAGCATGGTGGTTTGCAGTTGGGAATAAGCTAGTGAAAAACAGGCTGTTTTAGTAGGAGAGATGAGAATTGCTGGAGCAACATTAAGAGCCCTCTAGAGGGTTGTGCTCATGAATTTTAAGTGAAACCAGTCAGTGGGGTTGTGGATTTTCTTCAGCCACATTTAGCTGCATAGGTGCGGAGTAGGCAGAGTGTTGAGTTTAATCGGGATTGTAGATTTGACAAGGGAGTTTAATAGATGAAGATCAACAGTGAAGTTGAGAATGTACGGTAAGCAGAATGTTTATCAGCAATTGCTGACTATAGAATTTAAACTGGATAAGCAAGGAAGAAAGGACTTTAAGGGGGTGTTGGATAATGAAAGCAGTAAGAGCTAAAGATTTGGAAGTTCCTGAGTAGTTAAAGGATTTTTGGAGTCTGGATACTAAAGGAAGTAAGCTACAAAAGTAGAAGCCAGCTAGAAGATGGGATGAATAAAATAGGTACTTCAGGGGAGTTACATTATTGGCGGTGGCAAAGTTGTTCTGTTTTGTTTCTATTTAGAGCGGGGGAAGGGGCAGAGGGAGAGAGAGAATCTTAAGCAGGCTCCATGTCCAGCACAGAGGCATGGAGACCAATTGAGGGCTTTATCTCAAAAGATCAGTATCATGACCTGAGCTGAAATCAAGAGTCAGACACTTCACTGAGCCACCCAGGTACCCTGGCAGTGGCAAAGTTTAAGGCATGATCCTAGAAAAAATAAGTTGAAGTACAAGATTACTGGAGAAATGATGTTTAGGAACCTGAGGGTTTGAAGTGTTGTAAGGTACTTTAAGTGTCTACTGAAATGGACAGGAATTAAGACAAGAGTAACCCTGAATACTGTGTCCTAGGGGTTCAAATTGTTAATAAACAAAAGAAGATACTTTCAAATTCAGTAGTGGTAGCTATGGTAAGGGGAAGTGGATATATAATCAAATTATAAGGTTTCAGAGCTTGGTTTTGGGAATGCAGGAAGGAAAATGGTTTGAAAGCAGTGACAAGGAGCTAGTTAAATACTCTATTATCATCTCCAGGCCAGTGGGAGAAGGGAAAGTGAAAGGGGAATCATAACTTAAGTTCAGAAGGCAAAAGGAAGCTCAGCCACCATTTGACTTCTCAGGCGAGAGCCACGTTTGTGAGAACAAAAATGTGAAGAGAATCACCAAAGAGTACAGTGACGATAAAATATTGATGATGGTGGACTATGAATTTCAGAATGAATGAATTCCGAAATAGAACTACCCTCCAATCCAGCAATCGCATTACTTGGTGTTGCCCAAAGAATACAAAAATAATAATTGAAAGGGATACACGCACCCCAATGTTTGTAGCAGCATTATTTACAGTAGCCAAGATATGGAAGCCACCCAAGTGTCTATTGATTAATGAATGGATAAAGAAGATGTGGTAAATATATACAATGGAATATTATTCAGCCATAAAAAAAGAAATCTTGCCATTTGCAACAACATGGATGGATCCTGAGGGTATAATGCTAAGCAAGTCAGAGAAAGATAAATACCATATGATTTCACTCACGTGTGGAATTTAAGAAACCAAATGAACAAAGGAAAAAGAAAAGGCAAACCAAAAAAACCCAGATTTTTAACTGTAAAAAAACAAACAGATGGTTACCAGAGGCAGGTGAGAAGGGGATAGGTGATATAGGCTAAGGGGAGTAAGAGTACACTTACCAGGGGACGCTTGGATAGCTCAGGCGTCCCCTGGTAAGTTAAGTAAGTTGGTTAAGTGACTGCCTTTGGCTCAGGCCATCATTGCAGTGTCCTGCGATCGAGTCCCACATTGCTCTTCTTGCTTGGCAGGAAGCCTGCTTCTCCCTCTGCCTCTGCTGCCATTCTGCCTGACTGTGCTCTCTCTCTCTCTCTCTGACAAATAAATAAATAAAATCTTTAAAAACAAATAAGTACACTTATCGCTCTGAGTACTAAGTAATGTATGGAATTTCTGAAGCACTACATTGTATATCTAAAACTAATATAACACTGTTAACTACACTAGAATTTAAAATTCTTTTTTAATTTCTGCTGACAGAAATTAGATGTAAATAAATGTACAGTTATAAAAATATACATTGAAATAAATATTTTAGTAATTTAAAATTTAATAATGACATAAAACTTAGACACCTTGAACTGTTGATTGAGAGGCAAATTGCTCAGGGCTCCTGGGTGGCTCAGTTGGTTCAGTATCTGACTCTTGATTTCGGCTCATGGCATGTTCTGGGGACTGTACAAGGAATCTGCTTGACATTCTCTTCCTCTTGTCCCTCCCCCTGGTCATATGCATTCTCTGTCTTTCTCTCTCTTAAAAAAATAAAAATAATAATAATAATAATAATAATAATAATAAATCTTTTAAAAAAAAGTTACATTACTCCTAGAACTCAAACCCAGTAACTAGCAGAGTCCTAGTTCAGTTACTTCTTGCTCAACAATAGTGTTGAAGTTTATTAGAAGGCTTGCATATTAGGATTATAGTTATGTAAAAGATATATATACATACATAAAAACTTGAACACTAAAAATTAGTTGTTGTATTAGCTTTATAGATCTTCTTTGTCATATTTGGTTTTATATTAATAGTAAAAAACAAATGACCCCAAAGTTGAAATAAGGCATGCTAAGTCAAAATGGGTTAGAGCCATAGCATGAGGTTAGGGATTTATACGTTTGATAGAAACTCAACATGGGTGACCCTGGCATTTGGGTAAGCACCTCCTCTTCCTCGGTGCCTTTCTAAGATGGACAGTCCTTGGTCTGCCTGGTTCTGTTGCCTCTCCCTTATTCCCTGACACTCTTCAACTGACATTCAGCTTTAGGGATCCATACCAAGTCTCCTCATGGAGTCTTTGCTTTATCTTGAAACATTTATTGATAACTTCTTAATCTAATAAAAATGTAGAGCTGGGGGTAATGAGTACTACGAGACATGAAACTTAAATACTTCGGATGGCTTCACTTTGAGTTTCTCCTTTTATCCAAGTCTCGTAGAATTTTTTCCCCTTTTTTCTTTTTCGGTTTTCCTCAAGCTTCAGTCTCTCAAATGGTGGGTGGGTTGAGTACTATTTTTAAAGTTGGAGGTTTGGAAAGAGCAACATTTCCAATCTTTGTCTCCACTCTTTGTCTCCACTTAAGAATCTGAATAAAGCTAACAGAATACTTTGAATACAGAATTCATTATTATGTGCTTTCCTTGTATTTTGCAAAGATTGATGTGTCTGTCTTATATCCTTAACAGTAAATGTGTTTGTATTTTCAGGGAAATTTTGGTGAAGTATATAAGGGCATATTAAAGGATAAAACTGCTGTTGCTGTTAAAACATGTAAAGAAGATCTTCCTCAGGAACTGAAAATAAAATTTTTACAAGAAGCCAAGTGAGTTTGCAAAAGTTATATTAAACATGTATTTATAAGTTAATACTATAACATTAAATGTGAAGTTTGGGATTAAATTATGATTTACTGAAGTAGAAGTAAGCACTTTTAGAATGTTCATAAGGAAGCACTTAATCAGTGTAGAAACGAAAAGTTTGTTTTTGAACTAGACTATATATTAGTTACACAATCACAGCCAAAAGAACCAGATGCTAAAAAACAGTGTATTCTTCAGTATTGGTATACTGCAATATTTTTTGCTTTTATCACATATACATATACATAGGCATGTATATATGCAGTGTTATGGTTGTCTTTATAATAAAAATATTACTGTATTCTATATACAAATATATAATTTATGTATACATATTTAGATACATATAATTATATCTAACCTTCCTTAGATGTTTTCAGTTGATAGTCTTTACTGAGCTGTTACCTTTCTTTTCTGAGAACCTCAGATTTCGTCTTCAACTCATTGTTGGGCATTTGTTCCCAAATCTGCACATTGTTTTTTTCCTAATCTTCTAGGATGATTGGCTAAAATTTAATGTTCCAACTTGCTATCGCTGTATTGCGTGTGGTTAACACTGTTCTGTTGGTGGCAAAATCCAGTATATACAACACAGCACAAAACAAATAGGAAGATGTTTTGGACAGAGTAAGGATGAACTCTCATTCTGAGATGCATGGATACGTGGATGGGAATGGAGGAGACAACACAGAGATTTGTGTTGTAAAGGGAGAAAGGGAAAGGTGTGTGTGCGTGTGTGTGTGCGCACATGTGGATATATGTTTCTATCATGGCATAGTGTGTAAAATTGAAGTTCCTATATAGAGGAGAGAGGAGAGAAATGCAGACGACAAATATGATGGCAACCAGAGAACTAAGTGCATAGGTTGGAGCATTTTGATGTACATTTCTCCATTCATTATCTAAAAATGAATATTGATAACAATGTATTAACCTAGTTGGATGCATTTATTAAATATTGTCAAAGAATTAAGTTGTAAACTTTCTAAAGGTACATTTTTGGAAGGTCAAAAATATGCTATGATAAAGGCATGCTATCACAAAAGAAATTCACAAAAGAATTATGAACATTTTGTAGGTATTCATAGGTATTCTTAAGGTACAAGGTTATATCTTATGTTATTTTGAGAAAGTTAATTTTCATGCTCTTTAATTTGTGATTGTTTTACTACAAAATAAAGTATTAAACTTCCTAAAGTGGAAAAGCCCATTTTCTAAAGTGAAATTATGAATTTTTAGGTAAAAAATGAGAGTTGTATCCTTGAAGTCCCAAGTGTCTTTAATAGACGATAGAGAGCTATATATTTAGATACTTAATATTGAGTTCAGGCTGGCTATTTTGTGGACCTTCTTTACTAAGCAGTTTCCAACCTAAGAAATGACATTTTGGATTAAAGTCAAGCATTCTAAGACTTCCTTTTTAATTCCTCATAAAAGTTGCAAGCTTGAAGTTGTTGAGAATATTTTCCTTATCTCTAGAATTTTTCCCACTCTATCTTTTCCCTTATAAATCAATATATATTTTCAATCTAAAGCATTTTTCTTAGTTATCTCCCCTTTCGTTGGAGTTGTACAAAACATTTATAAACTGTTTTGTCTTTCTCCCAATAGTTATTTTTTTCATTCTCTTAGGAAAGAAAACTGCATTTTCAAAGATGAGTGAATTTATAACTATGTCAATAGGATAATCTGGAATAAAATTTGGTAACAGAAATATTCATGATAAATAGGCCTATAAGAGAATATAATTTATTTTTAACTTATGCTTGGAGTGCCATAGATGAGCTGTGCTACTTTTATAGCCCTCTGATGAAATTTTGCCTTTATCCAAGCAAAGTCCCTCTGCTTCAGCTGAAGTCTACATTGACGCTGTACTTACCTAGTTTTCATCTTTATCCACTTTCCTCAAAACTTTTGAGTTTTTACCATTTTGAAATTGATTGTGTTCATCAAGATAATATTTTATAAAATTTAATGAGATGATTAGCCTATACCATTTGCCAGTTTGAATTGAGTTCTTATTTATGTATTTTCAATCAGGTGTGTCCTAAAACAGAACAAAACAAAAAGATGCAACTCTAGCAGCTTACGTTTTCTGGTCCATTAATACTTGTCAATTATGCTTTTGTGGTAGCGGCTAAAACAAGATGCTTTGAAGGGAGTTGTACATGTTTGGGACTAAGTAAGTTGTTCATACTTAGCATGGTTGTTAGTATTCAGAGTGAATAGTAATTTTTATATGAAAATTTAATTGGATTAAGGAGAATTGACTCATTTGTACCTGCACTTTGTCAATATTTATCCAAACTTGTATACATCCCACCATTTATCGTACTTTGGCTTCATACTGAAGTTTTAAGAGAGAATTGTGTCGAGTAAAGTATATTCTACTTTGGCACACTATTCATGACGATTTAATGCTTTAGTGTTTAAATGATAACTATTTTTACACTTTTCTCTCATCCAGAATTCTCAAGCAATACGATCATCCCAATATTGTCAAACTTATAGGCGTTTGCACACAAAGGCAGCCTATCTACATCATTATGGAACTGGTTCCAGGTAATGATTTTAGAAGTTTCTTCGATGACATTTTAATGTCATGTTTTATTATTTTTATATGTTCGGTCTTTTTTATTTCTCCTTGTAAAGTTCTCAACAATTTTGTTTAACATTTTCCTGATGACAGAGAGCTGTACACATGCTTGATATTTTTATACTCTATATTACTTTGCTGTTGTCTAGAAATGTCAGCCAAGAGGAGGATATATATATATAAGAGGAGATATATTATTACAGTGGGATGACACATGGAATTTAGTTATGTATGCTTTTATTAGAAAAGCTGTTTATAAAAATATTCTACTTGGTTTGACTTTATAACAATGGTAGTACTATCTTACATTTTGTTCATTGTATATTATTTTCCAGGTACAATACCACACATCCTCTTGTTTGACTGTATATAAAATTCCATAGTGTTTTAAATCCTTTATGAACTATCTTTCATAAGCAAACCAAAGAAAAAGTAATCTTTTGAGGAATTTGTCCTGTATTTCTTTTTGGTCACTTTGACCACCTTCAGGTCTTGTGGTTAACCATTTTTGCCAACAAGCAAAGATAACTTCTGACTGATAGAGTATATTTTTAAGTTTCTTTCACTGTATATCTTCTTTTGGTAGAAAATATAATTAGCGGTATAATTTGATATTGGTAAAAAGATATACAGTGTTTAGTAATTGACGAAGATTTGTTTTAACAAGTATTTGGTCATTTAAAAAGAAATTTAAAGGAACATGAAAAATATTTCTAACTAGAAATATATACTAAATAAACCTGATATTATAGATTGCTCATTAAATATTGCTCACATAAGTCTTCTATTAAGGATAGTTGTTCTCATTTTTATCACATTGGTTTGCTTGCTATTGCAATATAGTTCTTAATAATACTATGTACCTGCAGGATTTAGGATCATCATCATCATCTTCATCCTCATCAAGGTAGCACTGTTTAGGTACATTGTATGTTTGCATGGCTTATGCTATTTATGATCCATCCCTTAAAGTAGCTTTCAATATATTTATGAAATACAATAGATTACAGTCCAAAATTTTAAAAATAATTGAATAGCTACAGTTTTAACTAAATGATACTACATACATATAAATACTCAGATTAGTGAAAATGAAGTCCCCAGTTAATAAGGGATGTCACTGAGAAACTTAGATTTGAAAGGTGAGGCAGAGTTGATAAAGAAAGGTGATTTTGGTCTTAGGATGGATGACAAATGCCAGATAGTAGGTACAAATTGAACAAAAGAAGATAGCTTTGCAGGAGAGTCAAGGAAGTGTTTACCTGACACTAATAACCTGTATTGATAATTTTTAAAGGAATGAGAATAATGAACTACATTAGAAAACTGAATATGTAATGAAAGAAAATTAAAAGTGAAAATTTCCCACTCAGTAATCTAACCCTTTCCAAAGCTAATTATTATCTAATTGTGTGTGTGTGTTTATGTGTGAGTATGTGTGTTTCAAGGAAAATATTTAAGGCAGATATCCGATTTTTATGCACGTCCTTTAAATTTAATTATAGAGATATACTCTAATACTTTTCAGATCTTTTTTCTTATTAATATTACTTAGAGTTTCATTGTTTCATATTCATCCATATAGTTCTATCTTTTCTTTGAAATAGTTTCAGAGCATTCCATTTTACAGATTTGTATAATTTTAATCAATCTTCTAGTTACGGATACTTTGGTTGTTTCTGTTTACGTATATATGTTTTATTTTGTTTTGTACAAATGATGCTGAATTAGTATCTTTGGAGTAATAACATAAGAAGCATTTTGAACTGTACAGGGTAAATTTTTAGCAATGAGATTATTGGGTGCAAATTAATGTGCATTTTGACTTATAGTAAATGTATTAGCTTTCTTTTGCTGCGTAACAGATTATCACAACCCAACAGCTTTAATCAATATCCATTTATTACCTCATAGTTCTGCAGATTACAAGCATAGGCAATCTTGATTGCATTATCTGCTCAGGATATCACAAAGCGAAAAATCAGGATTTCAGACTAAGTTCTTCTCTGGAGTCACTGGAGGAATTCACTACCAACCTCCTATAGGTCGGTGGCAGAATTCTGTTCCATGCAGCTGAGAAATGGTCTAAGGTTCTCTTTTTGCTTGCTGTCAGCTGAAGGCATTTCCCACCTCACCTATATTCCTTTTCCCATGGTCTCTCCATCTTCAGACCCAGCATGTCACATCTTTCAAGTGTTCTGATTTTAACTACCTCTTCTATTACCAGCTAGAGAATATCCTTTTTTGAAAGATCTCATGTGATTTGATTAAGCTCCCACAGTCAGTCTCCCATCTTTAGGTCACCTGTGCCATATGACAACATAATTAGGGAGGTGATATCTAATCATGTTCACATGTTCCAGGGCTTAAGGTAGATCATTGTTGGGAGGCCATATTCAAAATCTGCCTTAGCACAATAGATTTTGCTAAATTTTTTCAGGCGTTAGTTGCAGTATGGAATCTGAAACCACTTTGACGAACTTTTCATATTCTAATATGCTAACTCCATTAGTTGAACTTGCACTTTTTAAAAGATTATTTATTTTTCTTGAGAGAGAGAGAGTGTGTGTGTGTGGATAAGCAGGGGGAGAGGGAGCAGGGATCTCGATGTGGGGCTCTATCCCTGGACCCTGGAATCATGACCTGAGTTGAGGACAGATGCTTAACTGAGTCACCCAGGTACCCCTTGAACTTGGAATTGAATATATCTTTTATCTATGTATGATTTTGTAGCATCATGCTTCATCATTTAGGATATATCAGGTGACCAGGTTATGCAGGTCCTCAAATAGTGACATAAATCATTATACAACATCAAAAGATGACATTTTTTAATGTCATCAGTAGTCATTAGACAAGTAATGAGAAACTATCAAGTTCATGATGACAAATACATGTTTTCCAAAATTTTAATTTTCACTTGAAAGCTTAGATTTTTATCACTGACAACAAAAACTTCCAGGTTTTCCCCCACCCCCTTGAATTTTTTCAGCAATAAAAAGGAATGAACTATTGATATACTTTACAAAATGGATGAATCTCAAAATTATGCTAAATGAAAGAAACCAGATGAGAAAAAAAGAAGAGTGAACAGATGGCACATTAGTGGTTGCTTGCTTCGTTATTTGAGAAAATGTCTATCAAATATCTATTTTTAATTTTTTTTTTTTTTGAGAGCGAGAGAATGTGTGCATGCATGAGTTGGGGGAGGGGGAGAGAGGAGGAGGGAGAGAGAGAGAATCTTAAGCAGGCTCCACGATCATTGTGGAGCCCAACACTCAATCTCTCAACTCTGAGATCATGACCTGAGCAGAAATCAAGAGTCGGATATTTAACTGACTGAGCCACCCAGGAGCCCCTTAGATATTTAATTTTTAATCAGTGTAATTTGTCATTTATTCTTTTTGAAAAACACTTTGTATAATAACATTTTATATATGATACTTTATTATCTCTGTATTAACTTATGTATACCTTTCTCTACTCCTGTCCTAGTCAACCGCTGATGTGCCTTCTGTTCACTCTATGTGAGTTTGTATTTCTAGAGTTCAATATAAATAGAATCATATAGTCTATATATTATTTTCTGGTCTGGTTTCTTTGATTTAGCATAATTTTGAGATTCATCCATTTTGTAATGTGTATCAATAGTTCATTCCTTTTTATTGCTGAGTAGAGTTACCTCAAAGGAATATACCAGTTTATCTATTCAGTTAATAGACTTTTGAGTTGTTTCTTGTGGACAACTACAAGTGAAGCTGCTGAGACTATTCATGTACATTCTGTATGATTCCAAACAGATGGCATTCTAGAAAAGGGAAAACCATAGAGGCAGTTAAAAGTTCATGGGTTGCCAGGGGTTATGGAGGAGGTAGGGCTGGACAGGCAGAACACAGGGGAGTTTTAAGATACTGAAATTACCACATATAATAGTGAATACATGCCATTTATTTTTGTCCCAGTTCATAGAATGTACAAACCAAGAGTGAATCATAATGTAAACTGTGGACCTCAGAGGGCACTGATGTGTCAGTATAGGTTCATCAGTTGAAATAGACATGGTTGTCTTTGAAAGTGTAAGGATCTTTGTCTTCCTTACTTCTGCATTCACTTAGCTTCTTCCTCTCTCCTCTCTAACATTCTGTGACACACATGCATGGTCACTAAAAGGCCAAAGAGGGTAGTGGTGGAGCTCTTGAGTTCTGGCAAGTATTAGTGAGAGTGTGAAAAAAACAAATCCCTCGTACATTATTGCTGGAATGTAAAATAACACAGCCACTTTGGCTGTTTCTCAGAAAGTTTCTCAAAAAGTTACACATAAATTTTCCATGTAAACTGTTTTGATCCTAGGTATTTACCCAAGAGAATTGAAAGTATTTGTCAGTAGAACTGTATGCAGGTGTTCATAGCAGCATTATTTATAACAGCTGAAAAGTAGAAATAACCTAAATGTCCATTAACTGATAAACGGATTCACAACGTAGTATATCCCAACAAAAGATACTATTAGGCAATACGGAGAAATGAGGCAATACACAGTGCCATATACAGGAGCCTCTAAAACCCTATGCTAACTGAAACAAGTCCGATGTGGAAGACTGCATGTTGTTATGATTCCATTTCTATGAAATGCCCAGAAAGACATCTGTAAGTAAAGGGGATTTATGGTTTTTTAGGGCTGGGGGTTCTCATGGGATTGACTATACACTTAGTTCTTGAACAACCTGGGTTTGTACTTTGTGCGTTCACTTATTACACAGATTTTTTATAGTATGTAAACATGTTTTTCTTATGATCTTAAGTTTTTTCTCTAGCTTTATTGTAAAACTACAGCATATGATGCATATAACACATAAAATATCTTAATCAACCAATTGTTATTATTAAGGCTTCTCAATAGTAGGCTGTTAGCAGTTTTTGGGAAATCCATAGTGGATTTTCCAGTGGGATGCTTCATAAACCCTGT